GGGTTGTGTTCGACCAAGTTTAACATTATACCTAAAGCTTGACAAATCTTCTCCTGAGTTTGAAGTTTGTCTTTCAGTTGTTGGTAGTCGTTTCGAATATCTGCAACAGAACTTAAGTCTCTGCTAACTTCAGGATATGTTGGTTGTTCTTTTACAGGAACAATTGTTATACCATCTTCGTCTTCGTATGGTTTCCCCACTTCAACATCTCTGTCTTTGACATTGACAATAACACTTTGACTGTTTGTTTGAGTTGGTGAATTTAACTTCACATCTGCCACCGCCATTAAACCTTTTGAAACACTTACGCTTCTATTTTTCGGAAATGACATTTTACTTAGAATAAAAAGATGGACGTATTCGAGTATCTCTTCGAATTGAAGCAGAACAAAGTTTACACACACAAACAATACAAATACATTGACAGAATAGTTCTTTATACAAACAATGGAAAATGTTATAGAATAGCATTTGCTGAACCAAAATATTTTCATAAAGCAAAGAAAGTTGGTATAACTGAAATGGTGAAAGTTCTTGACGTTGACAAAAATATAACTTCAAAACTTACAGATATTTCTAAAGGAAAGTTTATAATACAATATTATGTCAAAACTGGCGTACTGTCAATATTTGACGGAGAGAAGTCAGTTCAAGAACAACTTACTGACCTGCTGCCAAAATCTGCTCGATGGAAGCTGTCGTTATGCCAATCTGAGGAGCCCCAGCAGGTTTCATCGAACGAATCTTCAAAAGAGCATCTTCCGTGAAAAGTGCTATTGGTTTTGTAAACTTCTTTGCTCTCAGTTCATCTGGACCGTCTCTGTCACCAGTATATTGTATTTGAACTGTACCAACAGTTGAAATACCACCCATAAAGTCTTCTGAGTCAGCAAATGGAATGCCAAGCCAAAAGTTTGAACGGTCTCCATTTGTATATTGAGTTTTTTGACCTCCTGTATGAGTCCATACTTTCACATATGGCATAATAGAACTTTGCATTTCAGGGTTAATGGTTGTTGTGAAGTTGTTGTTAAAGTTCATAGCATCTAATGTCAAGTTGTATGACCTCATATCCTCAACTGTAGAATATTCTTCTCTTGGATAATATTTGCCATCTATGTTTATATGATATTTAATACCGGGGTTGTAGAAACAAGAATAGTCATTTATAGTTCGTCTGAACAGTACAAACATAGTATCTGCATGTTTCATTGCAGTTGTTAAAGCAATATCTGTTCTTGCACCTGGGTCAGCACTTTGGTTTCCAACTTCACCTGCAAAGTCTTTGACAGATATTTGGTGTATAGGGAACATAAGTGGAACTGCAATATATTTGGCAGCTAAAGCATTTGAAATATCTGGGTCCAACATATAGACTGCAAGTCTGCTTTCTATTCTCTTGCATTCAAACTTTTCGCATGTGAACTTAACTGGGTCCCAAGCAGTTCCAGCAGCATTGAAATAATAGTTTACTTCATTGTTGAAGTTTGAGAAACCAAAGTCTAAGTCAACTTTGTCTTTGCAAAAGTCGGCGAATGACGTTTATTTGTTCCCTTTACGTCTGTAAGAGTGAATGGGTCTTGTGTTGGTGCAATGACTAAGTTATTTTTGCTTGGAGTAAGTTCGATAGAAATTTTTCCTGCCCAGTTTGGCAAGTATCTTAAAAACCTGAAGATGAGGAAAGATGACAAAGGAACTCTAAGTTTCAGTTTTACTTTAGTGGCAGCATTTCCATCTGAACCAGAAAGGTTAACATAAACTCCTGGAACGTTAGGGTCAAGTCTTCTTATTTTCTCAATATTGCATACTGGTCTGTTTGTTCTCTAGCTTGTGGTTGTACTGAGTTTCTCAAAGCGAACCATTCATAGTTTGCCCATGTTACTGTTTGAACTAAGTCAGAGTTAGAATATATCTTATATCCCATGAAAACTTCTGGAGCATATTGGTATCCGACATAGAAAATTCCATTGCAACCTTTCTTGTCAGACAACTTGGCAGAAGGTTTTATTTCAATGTCTTGTTCCACGTATAAGAATGAGTTGTCAATAGAAATAATATGAAACCTGTCGCAAGCAATATCTACTGTTGTTGAAGAACCTTCTCCAAACTCACCTACGTTTCCATAAGAAACAGCAGTTGTATATTCGTAAGTTCCAGGAACTATTTCTGACCTTCTAATGGCATTGTCGCATTCGTTATACCATTCGGAAACATTTCCGTTCATGGCATCCAAAACTGTTGGCGTTATATTCTGAGCGGCGTACATTTCATATGGGTAAAAATATAGAATAGTTGGATTTATTGTCATAATTGTTTCGTACCAAGCTTTACTTTCTTCCTGACTGAGTTTTTAACTCTTCTTTTTCCTTCATTGCCACTACTTTCACTAGATGAAGTTACTTCTTCACTACTTTCACTTTGTTCTACTCTTCTTCTTTGGTGTCGCTTTTGGTAACTTGCCCTCTGCTTCAAGTTGTTGCATCTTTGCCTCATGTTCACCTAGTATGTTGTAAATTTCCCATGTCCTTTTTGCCTTTGGCTCTGGTCGCCCATCTCAGGTAACCTATATCCTAGAAAGATTTCGTCATAGTTTGTATTTGAGTCTTCGCGTATTGTTTGCATGACTCTTTCCTGAGTTTCCGGTTCAAGCTCTTCAAACAGAGCTTGTCCATATGGAATAAGCTCGTTTCCAAATATATGTTTTTGTAGCCATTCTGGTTTTCTTTCCATGTTACCAATAATATCTTTTGTGAATGGGAAAGCTTTTACCCAATGTTTCAGTCTTGCGTCATTTATTTCTGTAGTTGGTTTTATTTTGTCAAGGAACATGTTTTTCAATACTAACATTTCATTTGGTACTGTCCATTTGAGTTTTCTTAAATATTCATCCCTTCTCAGTTCATTGTCTGCAAAGTAAGTTTTTATGACATTTTGTAAACTTTCGTTTGCAAGGTCATGTACAATAGGTTCTCTTCCTTCTATCTCCCTAACTTTCTTTCTAAACTCTTCACCAAATATACCATCTCTATGGTTCTGTGTAGTTCTTTGAGATAAATGTTCTAGAACGTCAGGTGTTATATTTCCATCAGCCATGTTCATTTCATACTGGTCCAAAATATCTGCATGTTTCATATCTTTCAATGGCATTAAAGCCGCGCTGAAAATACCAGCTATATCTGGTTCACCATTCACTTCCATTGCGTCTACAACTTCTTGGAATTGTGGTTGTAAGTTTATGAACCACCTATCCGGATTAGCTTTATGACCCCATCTCATTGTAGTTCCATAGTCTGCAGAAACAAAAGTAGGTTTGTTTCCATATTGGTTAGGTTCTGAATGAACTTTAAACAATGTTTCATTTCTATATGTTTTGTTGAAATTTAACCTTTTATTTTCACCGAGTTCAGCCAAAGATTGAACGTTATATGCTCGTAAGTAAAAAGGATTGTTGTATTTGCGTACACTTTCTTTCAGTTCTTCCATTCTATGCTGAATATTTTCATCTGATGTTGGAGTCTTTTGTATGTCGGCGAACATTTTTCGATATTCTTCTACTATGTCAGCCGAATTTTTCTTAGACTCTTGGAAAGATTCCATATTCCCGCATACACTTGTTGAGGGTCAAGATTTTTCGGCTGTTCCAAATCTTCATCTAGTTCTGTGAAGTTAGTTTCCAAAGGAGGGACTTGTTTGTTTCCTTCAGGCTCTTCTAGCTGTTGTTGCTGAACTATTTCTTCCATGTCTGGTTGTATCTGAACTTCTTCCTGTGGAGTTTCTTGTACCTCATCTGCTGGCATTTCATATATTCCGAGACCGTTTTTAACAAGTTCCCTATTTAAGTCATCCGCATTCATAACCCTTTCTTCTTTCGTTCCGTCTCTATTTTTACGCGTTTCATGAAGATAGTTGAATTATCATTTATCTCTGACACCAAATATCTCGGAGTAAATTCATTCATGTCATTTGGATGATATGCTATTAAATCATATCCCTTAGCGAGCTTGTATTTTCCAGGTTTGAAATTATATCCCATTTGGTGCTGAACCATAAAGCTAAATAGGTTCGGGTCAGTATTTCCTTCCTTGAACTTTCTAATAGCTTCTTTATATCTGTCACTAAAGTCAAGAGTATCTGGGTAACCATAATTTTCCTTAAGCATTTTTAAGAATTCTTGGTTTCCTTGTTCTCTACTTCTTTTATGTCCTTGCTCTGTTTTTGGTTGTTGTGGTGCAGTGTTTTGAACTGTTGGTTGTGGTGCAGTGTTTTGAACTGTTGGTTGCTGTGCAGTGTTTTGAACTGTTGGTTGTGGTGCAGTGTTTTGAACTGTTGGTTTTGGTGCATGCCTGTGTCTGTGTCCATGTGACGATGTAAATGTTTTAGGTAGTCCTGGTGCAGGTGCTTCTCTTGGAGGGTTTGGTGGTATATAAGTTCCACTAGCTAGTATATAAGTTCCACCAGCTGGTATATAAGTTCCACCAGCTGGCACATATGTTCCATCTGCAGCATAATGTCCTACCTGACTTTTCGTTTTTAAGAAAGCATTTACTAGGTCTGTTTTGGTCTGTTGTAACTCTTTTTCTTGACTTTCCACAACAGTTGTTCTAACGGCGTCATAGGCACTTTGAACTGCCTGTCTCGTTGCTGCATCTGTTATTTTCGTCATATTTTGTGCTACTTCTCTTAACTCTTTGTCGAAACCTTCAGACTTCAGTTTCTTTCCAGATGAGAAGTCGTTCACTAGTTTCACCTTACTATGAAGAGCTTCGAAGGCGTTCTTAAAGTCAGCATTCATTAAAGCTTCATTTGAACTGTCTTCATCCGCTTGTATTTTTGTCCTTATTGACCCTATAAGTTGGGCTGCTTTAGCGTTGGCTTGGGCATCTAACCAGTCATTATTAGCTTTTATATATTCTGCGCTTTTCATTGCCTTTTGCATGGCTGCGTCGTTATTTTTACTTTCTTGTGCTAAGTTTTCATACTGTACGGTTTGGTTTTGCAACTGTAAAAGTTTTTCTGCCTTTACATTTGCTTCAACTTCTTTTTTATACTCATCGCTATCCATATATGTCTTCAGGGCTTTTTGTTTTATCTCTTCATCTTTCAGTACTTTATATTGAGTAGTATGGTTTTTCAAATTTATAACATCTTGTTCCATTTTTGCTACTTCTGCTGCTTTTTCTGACACTTTTTTCGCATATTCCTCTGTACTTAGTTCTTTCAGTTGTTCTTCTTTCTTCTTTTTCTCTACGTTTAACTCATTGAGTTTCTTTGTGTGTCTGTCATATTCTAGTTTCTTTTCGTTTTCACTTATTTGTTTCTGTATGTCTATGTTTGACTTTTTGACATCTGTTATTTGATTTTTGAGTGAACTCAAATTCATTTGACTTTGAGGGTTATAAGCTGTTCCGTCTGCAGCTCCACCATAGCCTGCCATTTTCGCTAAAAGTGCCGCTCTTAAACCTCCACTCTGTGCACCAATAACTCGGTTTAAAAGCATAGGGTTGCTTGACATTTGTTGCAACATAGTGGGGTCATTCATCATTTGTTGTTGCAACTGTTGTTGTGGTGTCAGTTTTACTATTGGATGTTTCAATGCTCCCTTCCTCTTACGTATATTCTTACGTAGCTTACGTGGCATTTTAAGTGAAGTAAAAAACGGTTTTTGACAGATGTTTATATGACACTTTTTGTTCAGCACAAAAAACTACTCGGTCAAAGTGTTGTTAGTTTTGTAAAATAACCGTCTTATCTCATTCTATAAGGGGGAAAGGCTTCTCAAAGTATACTTCCTTGGAACGCCCGTAACTTTTCCTGTAGCGACGATAGACCCTTACTTGTCCGGACAAAGTTATACTATTTTGAGTGCTCTACAAAAAAGTCAACGGCGACGACTCTCAAAAACCGTTGTGTAAAAAGTTTTACCGTTGGACAAAAAAGTATATATAGAAAACAAAAAACGTTTATAGTTCATTCAATATTTGAGATGGAACGGTTTGCCAACGGTAACTATTAAATAAAATAAAAAAATAGAGGGGGTTACCGTTGACAAAAACCGTTTATTTCAAACTCTTATTTGAAAAAATAAAGTGGTCGGTTTTTTCACTTCATTTTAGCTCAATGTCATACCAAGACAGTAGCGATTCCGATTCAACTATCCAAGAAGAGGATTGTCATCCTCCACGGTCACTCCCAGTCCCAGATGACACTCCAAAGACTCGCTTTGACCCCGAGCAATCTAACTTCCAATTGCGCCAACAATTGCAGTCAAAAGCTGATGAATACATGGCTTCTTCTATAGAAGAAAGTATAGAACAGACCTCAGAGTATTCTACAGCTCTTGGTCAACTAGTTTCGGCGACAGTCCAATTCGAACAAATTTGTTCGAATTCAATTCAATATGCAGACGAACTTGTCCGCTATTGTCCCACTCTTGTAAGAGTACTTCAAGAACGACTCTTCAACCAGTTGCTTCCTACCTTACGCAGCCCAATTCAAATTCAATTTGCCCGTGCAGCCATAAACTTCACTCCGTACTCGTACAGCTATGACGAGGATGAACTAGCTGACGAGTACGGAGCCGAAAATGTTGGCTGGGTTTTTCGCACAACTCCTTGCGAATTCCAAGTTGAAATTGTCAACCATTTCCTCGTTCGTACTATTTCGTTACAGAATGAAGACAACGAAAAAGATGGAGTCATTCCAGGTGACCGTGTAAGAGTCATTTTCCAACGCAAAAGTGGACAAGAAATTGTGTTCGAAGAATTGGTTTGCATATTCTTTAGCAATGGTCAAGACTACTGGGAAGGAAACTTGGTATTAGTCCCCGGTGAAACCATTTCTGTTTCATCGGATTTGAACCATCCATACAAGATATGGTTCAATTACGTTGCATATAACGCAGAAGACCCGAACTTTGACTCAGAATAAAAACTTCATTTATACTAAACATCTTCGGGGCTAGAGGGCGCAACGCGCCTGGAAGCCCCACTACCTTTTTATTGCATATATATGAATTTGCAATTGAGTGATATCAGCGAGAAACTTATATGCACGTTTAACTTTATCAGATTTCAAATGAAAACATGGATTTCATTGATTGTTTTTCAATACGAGCTCAACAAAAATGATACAAAGATGAATAAATAGTAGTGCCCCTAAAAACAAGGTAAAAAACAAAAAATTAGCAACAATATACTTAATTTCGGCCAATATGGTGAAAAGTGAATATGTCAAAAACATTTACTCCATCATCTTGTTATCTGTACCTCACGACAGACGAATATAAAGAGATATCAATTTCCAAAATTTTACCAAAAAGAGATTAGGCCTAATTTTTACGGCCAATCTTTATTATTTGTTACACAGATGCTAGATCCACTACTCCCAAAAACAATTCATTTTTTGAATGGCCCTGTTTTTTAGGCCTTCATTTTATAAAAAATGCCAATATTATACGAATCTTAATATATTTATTTTTTTGTTCTCAATAAAGGTATTCAAAAGTCAATATAAACCATTCAAAATTGAGAGGAAACTCATTGAGAGGCTCGGAATTCGAGTAGTGAGGAAGGGTAAATTTTGAGAGCCAAAATTTCAAATCCCCTCAATATTTCAAAGCCCTTCTACATAGATTTTGTGACTACCTTAAGATTGTGCGGACATTCAATTCATAAAAAGTGACAATGCTGGATATTATTCGTACATCATTTCTTATTATTTTTGGAATAATAGTGGTGTTCAGAATGCTGAACATCAATCTGGCATCCTGGTTGTTCCGTAAAATTGAATTTCCATACATAGAAGATGAAGTAATTCAACAATACATCGACAAAAATTCAAAGAAAGAATTAAAAGATCTTGTTTTTGTTAACAGATTGACAGATGATCAAGTATGTGAACTTTGGAATTTCAAATCACTTAAAAACCAATTAAATATTTTTGTAATTGGTATTCTTCTATCCATTGGAATTTTAATAGCACGCATACCAAATCTCCAAGTATCTATGGATCTTATTTCTTACTTTGGACTCTTTACTTTCCTATTCATTTTCGTATTTTTATTTAGATACGCGTCAATCACAGCATCTACGTTCAAAACAACAAGATATGGTTGTATTAAGTTTTCTTTATTAATTTCGATTGGTAGTTACTTCGTTTTCAGTTGGATTCCTCTTTATGGACTTGATATCCGCGAATATGTCTATACTTGGATAGAAATGCCTCCTAGATTGGCAAATATTTGTCTATCTTGCATTGTCTTCCTAGTTTCTTACGCATTGGCTTATCCCAGCTACATTTACTTTAATACTTACAGAACATGTTCATCAATTGAAAAAGAAGTCGGAAAATGGAAGCACTGCTTCGACACCTACAAAGAATATGTTAGTAAAGTTCAAAATACCCAGACAACGTGTTATATTTCGATGCCAGTTCCAACAATAATACTTTTCTTCATCCGCAGATTCTTTGTTGGATATAGTATTGATTATTACTTAGATATTGTTTATGTTTTCATTGAATTTTTCATGGCATTTTATTTACTTAAATTTACAGAAATTGAGCTTCGAATGCTTGTTAATGATAATTGTCGCTACTTAACTGCATTCGAAACAAATAAATTAGAATCAGATGGTCGAAAATTTCAGAAATCTTTAGGTGAAACAATTCATCTTCTGCCGACCACCGCAATGTCATTACTTGCCTATCCTCTTCTTGTTGTTACTTGTTGCATTGCTTTCGGAACTTCTTTCTTGGTCGAAGGATTTTCTCAAGAGGTTTTAAGATATGGTTCAATTTTCTTATTGGCATTGATGGAAATAGTTACAGCAATGAATAAGGTTGCTTGTTTGTTTATAGAGTAAAAAGAAAATTTCAAAATAATTTTTATTAAACTTGTTTTCATATTTTTGGCTTGTAAATTTCAGAGAGAAGAGCCACAAAAGAAGCCTTTCCTTTTCTTCGATCACTTAATATATTAAAGAAAATAAAATATTTATTTCTTGATCTATGAATACAAAAACATAAATTCTAGTATACGTGTATGCTGAGTTTGTAATAGTCTGATGAATTGTTGACTTTGAATTACGAAATCATTAAGTAGTCAAATCAATTTCCAAATCCTGTAATGAAAATCATTATCTTCTCTAATGGTGTCATTGTCCTAAGCAATAAAGATCGCAAATTGAGAAGATATACAGTTCATTATGGTAAAGACCTCGAGATAAGGAATTTGACGCGGAAAATCGATATGAATGAACCCGGATAATAATCGGTATAATTAAATTTGAAAAATACTTGGTCAGAAATATGATGAAAGTATTTTCTGTCAGATTTTTCGGAATGCAAAATATGTTAATCATATTAGCAAGCAGCATGATGATTTACTTGCTACTTTATCATCATCTTTAACTTCTTTTGATTTAGCTTCGGATTTTGAAACAATATCTTCTGAAGTATCTGAATCTTCGTCACTGTCTTCCATAACATTGTATTGTGAGCGAACGCATCCTTCATAAGGTTCGGTGTCATGATCATTAACATTAGTACTCATCTTTCTAAGAATTAAAATTGTGAAAATCCGTTTTTTTTTTATTTCATTTTATGTTTTTGCAATACTCAGTCTATAGAGCTCATAGCATAAGCTTATCTAAAATATTCTAATAATTTGGTCATTTACACCATAGATAAGATAATTTGTGAAATTCAAATTCTCATAATGATATTTTCATATGAATAGGTTTCAATATTACCATAATTAATTGATTTGAAAACTGCCTACAAAGTACAGAATAAAAAATGAGGATATTTAATTCACGTCAAACTCAATTATAGAAAATATAACTATTAAACTGTGACAATAAATTAATATTGTTATAGTGATTAATAATTTGATTGATATGCACTAATACAAATTTCAAAAAGATTTTTTTGGAAATCTTGATATTAAGCTTCAATTTTTATGTGATTTAACGTAATTGCATCTATATGTAATGATACTAATAGCGATAAAATATCTAGATCGATAAAGATTTGAATTGTTAATTTTATTTTTTATTATCATTACTGAATATATTGATTTTGAAATCATTGTTTGGCTCAAGCGAGTATAATTTGGTTACGATCATTGAAAAATGGGGATCACAAATGATAATATGTATTGAAAAATTCAAATCAATTGAAATTAAAATTGAATTAAAATTTTTGGAGAAGAAAATCACTTCATTTAATCAAATGCTAGTTGGAAACAAAGCACCATCATTCAAGGCTCAAGCTGTATTCCCAGACACAGACTTCAAGGAAGTTTCCCTTGATTCATACAAAGGAAAATGGCTTGTTCTTTTTGCATGGCCACTTGATTTCACATTTGTCTGCCCAACAGAGATCATTGAGTTTTCAAACAAGTTTGAAGAATTCAAGAAACTTGGGTGCGAGGTTCTTGGCATGTCTGTTGACTCTAATTTCACACACCTTGCATGGATCAATACTCCACGCAAAGATGGAGGAATTGGTTCCCTTCAATATCCAATCATTGGCGATCTTGGTGCAAAGATCTCAAAAGCTTATGGTTTTTACATGGAAGAAGCAGGACATGATCTTCGTGGAACAGTCATCATTGATCCTCAAGGAATAATTCGTCATGTCCAAATGAACCATCCTGATGTTGGCCGCAACGTTGATGAGATCATCCGTCTTGTCAAGGCTTATCAGTTTGCAGCCAAACATGGCGAAGTTTGCCCAGCCCAGTGGCATGGAGAAGGTGACCTAACAATTAAGGCTGATCCCAAAGCATCAAAGGACTACTTTAATAAGGCAAATCAATGAATAAATACCCTTAAATTATAATATTATATGTATTGTTTAACTATACTTTCTTCTTATGATTTGGGATGCATGAATCTCTTAAAATTTGGTATATTATAATACATTTGAGAACAAATTCAGAAAAGTTATCATCCTAACAAGGAATTATATCATATTTATAAAATACGGCCATGAAAATCAATCGATATGGCAATATTTTCAATCTCTTGGTCATATGAATACCACTATATGAAATAAGATTTCAAAATTAATAGGTAGTTTTGGTCAAGGTATATTAGTTTGTATTCATTATGTATTGATACGGTAAGTATATGAATGAATAATAAAATTTTTGAGATAATCATGAAAATACTTTAATATGAAATAACTTTGATGCAAAAAGACTTTGTAATAGAAGAAATACTATGCAATGGTGATGAAAGAGAAGCTTTATTTGCTTTGTAAGAGACTGAAGTAAACCACTTTTTATGAAAGTCCAAATAAATAATAAAACAACATTATGTCGCTATACATTTCATGATTGTAATCTAATTCTATTGTTTCAATATCATGAAGATATGTAATTCGTGCAACACCTGGTCCACTATTTCCTTTCATAGAGCCGCCAGATGGGGATGGCATCAATTTATCTCCTGCAATCATGACTGGATTTTCAAAAACTATATGAGAAGGGTGAACTGAACCTCCGTCCGGAGAAATGCAGTCTGGATGTCCGCTCACGTAGGAGCTTCCCCCTGGTCCGCCATGTTCAATTGCATCATCTTGATATCGATCATCTGGGAGTTGACTCCAGCCACCTCTATAGCCTGAGCCACCTCCACCAATAGCATTGCCTCTTGGAATCATTGATTCTGCCCCTCTTCCACCGATTCCAAGTTCACCCGAAATTTGACTTCCGGCAAATGTATAAGGAAAACCAATATTATAACTAGCTTCTCCACCAGGACTCCCAAAACAATAAAAGTTTTGTGATTGTGTGACTTGTCTATAATAATTTGAAAGTGCTCCACCACCACTTCCAGCGCACATGATTCGACTTAGTATAGATTTATTAAAATTAATATCTTTTGTGCTTCCAGAATTAACGTTATAATAAATTAATCTGATATCAACACCACCTCCCCCGCCAGCACCTGATTCTGGATAGCCTTCATCATTTCTATTGACGCCCCCATCTCCACCAAAGTTCCAACCGCCTTTACTAACAATTCTGCGATTTGAATAATCTGTTTGATCTTCACCTTTCCCTCCAAGATATAGAAAAAAATTAAGTTCAGTAGATACGTTTAACTTCCTTCTTGTATATGCCTCTTTTCCTCCAGAATCATAATACAAATAATAGACATTTGAATATCTTGCATCTCCACCTTGTGCTCCCCATAATTCTATTGAGTAAAAACCCTTTGATAGAGTTATATTGTAAGGGTAGCAAGTAGTTCTGGATGTACATGGATATCAAAAAATAACACTTTCGCCTGCTACAGATACCTTGGGTGAAGCATAGTAGGTGTTATAAAATTGGTATCTGATCCAAGGAAGAGCCATAGGCTCTTAAATAAAATGGCAAACTTTAGAATCTTAAAATAAATTCTTTCTCTATTTATATTTTTATACGTATAAATGTTAGCAATAATAGACTGATAATATTTGATCGTATAAAAATTGAAGAAAACTTTGAATTATACAGTAATCATAAAATGGGATGACAAAGTGTAAATAAAAATGAATAAAAATCTATGTTTATTATTATTAATTAAATTAAAAGAATCTCAGAATTGAATGTTTAGTCAATTTAAACTGTGAAAATTTAGCGTGATCTGCTTTTTTTATTATTATTATTTTTTATTTTTTTAATCTTCAAGAACTATTATGCTAAAAGCTTTTTTCCAATGCGATCTGTTTCTCGATTTTTCCGACACAATTTTGATACACAATTGAATTTTCAATGCTCGATTTTTAAAGAAAAAAAATATTTAAAAATAGAGCTAATATTGAAATGATGACGAAATAGAAAATAACCTCAGATTTTTCAGAGTGCGAGCATTCAATCCTCTGAAAAGTCTGAGATAATGTGGTTAATACTTGTAAAATTCTATCGAATGAATAATACCTAGCTCAGACCTTTAAAACTAGAATTCCCAAAAATGTAAATCATTAGGAAACAATTTCAAAAATAAGGTAGGTAAAATCACTCGCAACAAACGGTAGTTTTAGCAGCGATTATTTTAACCTACCTTAACTAGTGGTTGCTTTAGCAAATATTTGTGATATAGATTATTAGATTTATATTTTTTACAATATATTTATAATGATAAGCATAGTATGAAGTCCGGAGTGGCTGATTATGACCAATAATGAGTTGAATAATCATATTGCCAAAATCGCTGCGAAGAGTATATATGCGAAATGAAGACTGATACAGATTGCTTTATCAGAGAGAATCATTAAATATAGAATATTTAAAAAAGCAGAGGGGTAGAAAGAAAAATATGAAAAGGAAAAAAAAGTAATTTTTGTTAAAAAAAAAAAAAAAAAAAAAAAAAAAAAAAGGTAGTGGGGCTTCCAGGCACTTCGTGCCTTCTAGCCCTGAAGATGTTTTGTCAAGACTTCTTCGTAAATGTTTTGTCAAGACTTCTTCGTAAATGTTTTGTCAAGACTTCTTCGTAAAATCAGACAAAAATATATTTTAGGGTAGAAGGTTAGATATAACCTCTTTTCTAACCTCTTTTCTACCCTCTTGAATTTGTCAAGATTTCTTCGTAAATGTTTTGTCACTTTTCTGTCACTTTTCAGGAAAAAAACATTTTTATTGTATATAAAATGAATTTTACAAAACCACCGTTACCCTTCTTTGGAAATAAGAGTAGATGTAAAGATATTCTATTGAGAGAACTTAAGAAACTACCGAATGGTCTAACATTTGTAGATTTGTTCGGTGGAAGTTTCTATATATCCCATCTGTGCCATACTGTATTTCCTGACTCAAAGATTATATGCAATGACTTCGACAACTATATGAACCGTCTCAAACATATACCAGACACAAACAAAATATTGAGTGAGTTGAAAGAAAAGATACCTATAGGTAAGATGGAACGTATACCATTAGATAAGAAAGATATTGTCAGAGAGGTTTTGAAAAAAGCAGAATATATAGACTGGGATAGTATATCTGCTAGACTATTATATAGTGGTGCTAATAAGAGTTCATGACATTGAAACACTTATGTCAAAAGTTTTATATCTTAACTATACAAATGTTTTCAAAGAGACATAGAAAAATATATTGAGGGTATAAGTTTGTGAGATGTCATTGGACAGAGTTGTATGAAAAATATAAAGACAAGGAAAATGTTTTCTTTATAGTGGACCCGCCGTTCTATAACACATGGGATTTTCAATACCAAGTAGACTGGACTTTGAGAGACTCTTTAGAAAACTTTAGACGTTTTACATAACCATCCATGCTTTTACTTTACATCCGATAAAAGTGGTTTGGAAAAGTGTCATGAGATGGTTAGAGGACAATACATGACTATGAGTTTATATATGACAAGATAGAATATGAGAGAGTCCATAAACTGGAGAAAGTGTCATAACAAAGAAATTTTATTGGTAAGTAAATGTGGTTTGAAATAGGACTACTTGTTTTAGGTTTTTCCATTGTGTCATTTATTTATTTGACGTGGCAGAAAAGTACAGAGAATATGAAGATGAACCAATGCCTGCAAATGTCCAGTATATGTACTCGTAAGAGATATTTTTATCTAATATTAAATGGACGCACAGAACTTAGCGAATGCACAGCAACCTGGACAACCAAACCCAGAGAATATTCCAAATGAAGTTAGAATACAAACTGCAATGGCAAACTATGGTCAAGTGCCAACAGATGTACAAATGCAAACTGCCATGTCAAATGACGCTGCGTTAGGTTTGCCACCATGGTATGCAAATATGAGATGGAAAAGTTTTATACAAACCCTGAAGTGGGATATAAACAACTTTATGCAGATGACGCGAACACAGGAGTTGACCCAGAATATGTTTTCTACCAGAGGAGAAACAGAATGTATGAGCTCCAGTTAAAGAATGCTATGGAACTCAACAGGAAACGTAAGAGACTAGGCGGACATTAGATTTTTACATATAGTAAAATGGGTTTCTTTGGAAGAATAGGAAACTTCTTTCGAAATGTTGGAAGAGGTATATGGAATGGAATAAAAACCGTAGGAAGAGGAATTTGGAACGGAGTCAAAAATATTGGTAAAAGAGTAGGTCAGTTTGTTGGTATTATACCTAAAGACCCTGAACCAGAAGAACAAGCTCCTGTTATACAACAGCCTGAACCTGCACCACAGTCTAGTTGGCAACCAAATCCAACACCTCAACCGTATTAAAATTATATTTTTACCGTTCGATAGTAGTTGTATATGAAACTAAGTTCTAAGTAAAACGCATGGTATAATGGAATTATTCTTTTCTTCCATCTGTAGTAAACCATACTTGAAAGTCTGAAATACTTCCACTTGGTGGTTCGTATAACTTTGTAGGTTTTTCGTAAAAGTCATTTCCAAGCATAAAAAAGAGTTTTGGGCGCCAGAAAATGAAGCATGAACAATAATAGCAGCTGGGTCGAAAACATCTTTAAATAAATATGGTTCATCTCTTGCATATCGACTGTAAATATTTGCTAAAGGAAGTTCGACTTTCTGATTTAACATTCTTTGCAAATAATACCATGACATTGCAGTGAATTCTGTATATATTTGTTCGTCTTTCTTTGGATTGTCTTCGTAGATTTGAAATGACACTTGTGAATTTTGTTTGTCATATACAATTCTCACATAAAGTGTGCTCTCGGTATTTGCATATTCATCAGCATATTTTGCATAACATGAATTTATTTTATCTTCTATATTTTTTAACGCAGTCTGTAGAGAAGATGAAAGGTCAACTTGTATTAGCTCAATTTCTTCCCACATTTTTCGTTTCCCTTCAGATATATATATCTATATGAAACCTTACAATAAATGGAAAACTTTTATCTTCTACAGACACAAACTTCATTCTACGAAAGCCAATAGCTTTTGTGACAGATGGGTCTCTTAACCATCTTAACGGGTAGTCAAAACGATAGCCTTCATGCTTTACGGTCTCTGTCTCAAACTTTTGACCGACATTAGTAAAAAGTTCATCTAATGGTTTAGTTGTAGCAACTCTTGAATTTTCTTTTTCTATTGAAAGCATATTTTATCTAGAATAAAAATGTCGAAAGAACAGCGTCTATGAGAGAAATACAACACAACCGACAACTCATTTTTGCAAGCTCTAAATAAGAACACAACAAACTTTTCAAAACTATTCTAAGATATCTGAGTCATTGAAAGAAGGAAACTTAAAACTGACGATAAACCCAATGACAGATGAAGTTTTGTTTCAAGACAGTAAGAACCATACTGTTTGTATAAATCCAACAAAAAGAACTTTAAACGAGAAGCCTATAGATGAACTTCTTTTGAAGGCAGATATTGACAACAAAGCTGACAAAGAGTATGTTGACGATGAGTTAGCACGTGTGGCTAGTGCGTTAGTGAAGAAGGCAGATAAGGAATATGTGGATGAAAAAGACAATGAAATTATAAAAAGGGTTGAATGGTACCATGAACGGACATCGAAGATTTTAGAAGGTAAAGCCAATACAGGGTGGGTTTCAGGATGTTTAGACCTTAAAGCCGACAAAGAAACTGTAGATATGTTGACACAAACGGTTTCAAGTCATACCAGAGGTTTAATGGAAGATGGACAACAGTTGAAAGAGCTTGAGAAAGGTGTTACAGAGTTAAGGAATACAAAAGCAGACTCGACATGGATAAAAGGATATGTAGATGCAACAAAAGAACGTATTTTCGCATGGACAGAAGGAACATACCACAAAAAATATCATAGACATAGCATCTCTGACGTAAATGAACTTGAAGAAAGGTTATATAAGAAAGCAGACAAAACAGAGCTTCAAACATTAAAGA